TGGGGTTGGGGGTGGTACCTGCAGCAGTGTGAGGTCACTGGGGGTGGGGGATGGGATGAGGTGGTACCTGCAGCAGCATGATGTCGTTGTTTAAAGTCTCCCTGTCGTACTGCGGGTGGGGGATCTGCCGTCGCACCTGAATCACTTGCCGGCTCGGTTCCCGTTTTCTGATGTTGTGGGCTCCCAGGGTGACAGTGATCCTGATGTAAAAGCCGAGAGCAGCACGTGGGGCGTTAAGAGCCGGGCATGAACTCGTATTCGTCTGGCTCAGAAATTCTGATCTCGCAGGGACGGGGCAGCCCAGGGATCTCAGACCAGTTCTCCGATTCCGTCCCTCCCCTTTGTGCTTAGGTGTCCACTCCTCCCAAGCCAATTCCCCCCTCCCTCCCTGATCCCAGCAGGGGTCCATGCCCGGCTCCCAGCCTGGCACCCTAAAGAGCTCCCTTCCGCTTCCTTCCCTCCCCTTTGTGCTTAGGTGTCCACTCCTCCCAAGCCAATTCCCCCCTCCCTCCCTGATCCCAGCAGGGGTCCATGCCCGGCTCCCAGCCTGGCACCCTAAAGAGCTCCCTGGGGCTGTGACCATGGGACAGACCGAATCAACTGACCCAGCGCTGGGGTTGGGCCATGATTTGCAGAGGCCCCTAGAGACTCGCCAACCCCTGGGCTCTGCTCCCCCTGCCTGGCCACCCCCTGCCCCTTTCCTGCCCCCCATGCCAGCACCAAAGCATCCTGCTCCTCCATCCCCCACCGCCGCCCCTGCTCCCATGTCCCCGCCCAGAGCCACTCACTCTCCCCAGCAGTGAGCGGCCGTCAGCACGAAGTTCTTCGCCACCAGGAACCCACCACAGGTGTAATGATCGTTATTACGTTTCATTTGTAGATAGGCCATGTAGGGCCTGGAGTGGGGTTTGGCCTCCTTGCCCCCAATAATCTCACCTGGGGGGAGACCAAATGCATACAGAGGGCCCCATCCTTTTCACAACCTCATCCCAGCCTTGTGAGGCTCTCCCTGGGGGATCCCAGTGCCTGGATCCCAGCTCCCTGCTTTGCCCCACAGTGGGCCCCACACCTATAGGGCTGGAGGGGAAAATCTAGAGATCTGAAGTGTCTGAGTGGAGAATTGGTGCCAAATGCACCCGGAGCGGGGCAGGAATCGCCCTGCCTTGTGTTCACAGGTCTGTCACCCAACACTGCTCCAGCCCGTCCCCAGTAGGGCACGGACGGGTCTTCTGTGACTGCTGCTTCTCCACCCACCCACAGGAACCAGGCTGGGCTGCTCCACACCCGAGTCACCGAAATACCGGTGCCAGGGGAAGTGGCTTTGACTGAATGAATCCTACCCCAGGGAGCCCTTTCTTTTCTCAAAGATGCCTGCATTTCTGTCCTCTGCACCTGCTGGGAAATGTCTAAAGGACAATTTTCAGGCTTTGGGGGCTGAAAAACAATATTTTGGGGGTTGAAAATGCAAAGTGGGAATGTCCCTCAGGAAAACGACAAACCCCGGTGCCAGGGGAAGTGGCTTTGACTGAATGAATCCTACCCCAGGGAGCCCTTTCTTTTCTCAAAGATGCCTGCATTTCTGTCCTCTGCACCTGCTGGGAAATGTCTAAAGGACAATTTTCAGGCTTTGGGGGCTGAAAAACAATATTTTGGGGGTTGAAAATGCAAAGTGGGAATGTCCCTCAGGAAAACGACAAACCCTCTGGGGTCTGCTCAGGAGCAGGCGCCAGGTGGGCGGGCGGGCGGGCGGGTTGGAAACTCTCCCCTCTAAGGAATGGCAGCGATTGGCTTTATTGTGGGAACAGGACCCAGGTCAGGGAGCTCTTAATGCGCTAGTCACTGCTCGGACTCCCC